GCTGAAAACACAAGTTATTTTTAGAGTCAGGAAATGTCCCCCGAGTTAAAACCCCCAACTTACCGGGAGAAATCTGGAGAGAGAAGACTGGCTCCACCCACACCCAAGTCAGCTGGGCCTTACACTGGAAATGAATACAGGGCTCACTCCCTGTGTGCCAGCCACCAGGCTGCTCAGGAGGATGAGAAGGGCTGAGGAGGAGGAGGAGGAGGATGAGAGAGGCAGCTGGCTCATCCTCACAGCCTTGACAGAGAGCTCTCGAGAACACCTGGGTGCTGGCAGAGCTTTAACAACCCAGCTGAGGGCTGGGGACTGGTGAGGAGAGGAGAGGGGAAGAGCAGGGATCAGTCCATTTCATTCTATAATCTCCCCACCTTCCCGGGCTTCCTGTTTCTCTCTGCTGGGGCCAACATGCTTAGCAGTAGCTTTTCTCACACTTTAACATGGCTGCAACTCCCCTGGAGACTTGGTGGAAACGCAGAATCTGATTCTGCAAGTCTGGGGCGGGCCTGAGAAGCTGCATTTCTAATAGATCCCCTGTTACGGTGCTTCCCCAGCCCCCTTCCTCTCCTATAAAATGGTCCACAAAACTGATCTTGAGTAGCAAGCCTGGAGGAAACTCACAGCGGGAGAAGGGATGCTGGCAAAGAGGAAGCTGCCCTTCCCATCCACGCTGGGGAAGTGGCAGAAGAGACACATCAGGAAAGAGGGGAAGCCGGACAACTCCAGAATTTGCTCCCCTAATTTGCCCTCTGCCTGCACCTCACTTCTTTGAAACTGTCACAGTTTCTGCCATGTGTCCAGTCATTTGGTTTCTTCTGCAAGAATGAATGAATCCCCTCCAACCCACCTCCCCCAGAGGATTGAGGAATTGAGCCAATTTTCATAAGCTTGCACCACACCACCCAGCAGGCAGGCGTTAGTGAGACTCCGCATCACAGTGTCACCAGCTACTGCTGGGAGACCCTCCAGCCTGGGTGTGACTGAATTGCCAGGAACCACCAACCAATTCCAAGTACCCTTGGGGGAGGACACACAATTGGAGTTACTACAGTCAAGCTGGTAAATTACGACAATCAAGTAGGATGACACACAGGGGAGGAATTCGGTTTGGTTTTAACTAGACTAGAAACTCTCACTTTTGAACTTTCCAGTCCTGTGTCAGCACCTGGATATACATCAAACCTCCAGACAGTCCTCCGCTTACCACCTGAAGGACTAGGAGAAGAATGTTCACAGAGCCAGACCACAATACATCCATTCGACATGCTGGAGATAAACTCAAGTAGGAGTGCAGGGTAAGACTGCTTGTTCACCATCAGGGGTCAGAGATTTGGCAAATTACTTAGTGTTTCTAGGCCTCAGTGTCCTCATCTATAGAACAGGCTTGTGTATAAAACCAACCCTATTTCTTAGGGTTCATGTTGTAAGGGTATTTGAGATTGATAAAGAAAGCTAGCTCCTGGGGAGTAAGTGCTTGGTAACTCAGGGTTTCTATTTTGATCATCACACTTGTGGGAGAGAAAGAAATTTCCTATATACTTCTAGGGTTTGGGGGCTAGTCTAATAATTCCATTCACAGGAGCCAGGTTAACAAGAGAAAAATAACTAGATCTAATTACATATATCCAAAATAATAATTACATATATACATATGGGAACTCCACATGCATGAGAGAGTCAGAGACAGAAAGGTATAATAAGGTATATATGGCATCCTGAGCCAAGGAATGAGGTAAGCTCCTTGAGCCTTCTGAAGAGAGGAGGGTCATTTGCAGATTGATAAAAAGTCCAGATAGATGTTCAGTAATTAGATGTTGGCCCTGCCCCAGATAGAAAAGTGGTAGTTATATTTGGTAATAACTCTTATTACCTTACTTGGAAAAAACCCACATTTAAATTTTCTAAGGGAGAGATAAAAGCTTCTCTTGAATCACAGGGTCAGGATTGCCTTCAGCACAAAATAGTTCACATGCCAAAGTAACACATCCTGGGGAGGCCTGTTCTGAACCCTTAAGTCCCAGATTTTGGAATGATAGACCTAATTTGTAGCTATTTGTTGACCCATCTTTGAGTTTCTGATTGAGGACCAGATGGTTCTCTGGTTACCAAGGCAGGAGGATGTCAGAATCTGACACTTAGGGGTCATGTATGCAGAAGCAGAATGGAGGTCATCTACATGGACCACAATCTTTCTAGATTTTGTTGTGGTTGCCTTTGCAGAAGATTCAGCTAAGGCATTTCCCTGAACTCAGGCTCAGTCCTCTTAGTGGTTATTTTGACAACAGACAACATTTTCTGCCAAGAGATATCTAATAGAGACTTCTAGTAATTTTACAGTTTCTGGAACACTTCTACCGAATACCTACACAGATGCAGCACAAAGAGACTTAATGTTTGGATACTTGACTAAATAGTATTATGGATTAAGAAACAATACTTATTGGAGAAACCAAGATGGCGACATAGTTAAATACCTAAACTGCTGCCATGCACAACAAATTCAAAATTACAACTAAGACAAAATGGACATCATCCAGAACCACGGGAAGGCTGGCTGAGTGGAAATTCTACAACTAGAAGAGCACCGAAACCGGTTTGGCTCAGTGGATAGAGCGTCAGTCTGCGAACTGAAGGGTCCTGGGTTCAATTCCAGTCAAGGGCATGTACCTTGGTTGCAGGCACATCTCCAGTAGGGGGTGTGCAAGAGGCAGCTAATCAATGTTTCTAACTCTCTATCCCTCTCTCTTCCTCTCTGTAAAAAATCAATAAAATATATTTTTTTTAAAAGAAAGAAAGGGAGAACTGAGCACCTGCTCTGTGCCAAGTCAGAACTAACCATCCTTTTCTTCTCTCCCAGAAAATTGAATCAAGCCTTCCCTGGCTCACTGAATCACAGCACTGATTCCATGTGTTTTTGGTTTGTGTGTGTCTATCTCACTGATAACTTGATAGTAGAGATGTAGTAACAAGGAGTTGGATTCTGGTGGATTCTGAAGGTATAATAAAGACTTGTTGATGGGATCCACAGGGGGTGTGAGAGAGAAGAATCAAGGATGACTCCAAGGTTTTTGGCTGGGGCAACTGGAAAGAGACGAGCCGACTACAGGTGAGCATGTCTCGGGTGAGGGTAGCGAGCATCATAAGCTCAGTTTTGGAGATAATATATCTGAGATGCCTCTAGCCAGTCAGTGCACGTGGCAGCCTGGATTCAGGGAGGCGGTCTAGGCTAGAGATACGGAGCGTTGTCACTGCACAGATTACATGACATAGTAAAGGTGTCATTTCCAGGTGCGGCCTTGGCAGGGGTATAAAAGACAGCCAGGCCACAACTCCATGCTCTATGCAGACTGCCAAGACGATTTAGCCTCAGACATCCACACGCCTGGGCCTTCACATTTACACGCTGCTTATTTACTGCTTTGGGAATAAACGCAAGTCAAAGCATTTTGATTAAGTCGCTCCCTTCGTACTCACACATAGATGAGCATATCACTTACGTGTCCTGAGTGCTCTTAGGAACCCTCAGAGGCAACCTAAACAGTCCCATTTGTGTTGGCTCCATGAACATTGCTACTACCATTGTGTTAAAGACAGTTGCACTCTTATTTGTGGGGTTCACAGCTGCCCCTCACCCTATCCATCCCTACCCTTGGACTCCAAGTCCCACGCCAGAATAGCCTATATCCTTTCATACATTTATCATTTGCTAACTGAGCACTTACATGTCCTGACCTATGTCAGGTTCAGCCCCTGAGCCTCTAAGGAAGCCCCTAGTCTAATGGAAATTAAAGGAAAATAACACCCAGGGTGATAATGAATATGTAAAGGCAAGTTCAGGGAGCTGTGGGAGCAGAAGGAAGGGGCACCCAGAGCAGTCTTCAGGGAAGACTTCCTGGAGGAAGCAACTACTCATCTGGCTCGGGCAGTTGAATAGGGTGTGTGGTTGGTGGAACAGGGCATTCTAAGCCAAGCCGCTATGACTGGAGGGAGGGACAGACTACAAGTCACTCATACAGTTGATGCCAATTGTGCCAGAGGAAAAGAAGGAAGACAGGGCAGGGATGGGCATCCACCTAAGGACCTGTTTTACAGGAACCCAGAATTATATAACCAGAAGGCTTCACCCTCATGGGCTTGGCTTCAAGGCCCATGGGCGCTCTAAGGACCACCTGCAACACAAGCTCATGAGGAGCCTGATAAAAACCCAAAGGCCAGGCTACACCCAGCCCAACTGAATCCACAGGGTCTGGACCCCAGGAAGCAGCATTATTTTCACTTACTGGTGGGAAACAGACAGTTGTGGTGAACAATCATTAGAAAACCACCACACACAGCTCCCGCCTCTGCAGCTCTGCCCTTGCTAATAGGGGACCAGTTCTCAGGGCCCTAGAAAAGGCGCAGGATGATTCATTTTCATGGTCATGGATGTGCTTACATAAACGCTCCCAGCCAAACCCAGGGAGTTCTGGAACCACTGTCAGAGGAGTAGGGGAGGAATAAGCAGACTGGCTGCAGTGGGAGGAGATAGGGGAGTTTAGCAAATAAGCCCTAGTCCCCAGTTCTTCCCAGTCCTAAGGAGACAGGAGGCAAAGAACCAAAGGAGCAGCCATTTTTATTCCACAACCAGTAAATCCCATTTACCACACCACCGTGGCAGCACGGCCGGGACGTAGGCCAGTGCTGCCCGAGAGAACTTCCTGCGCTGATGGAAGTGCTTGCCCGATACAGCAGCCACTTAACCACTTCTGGTTACTGAGCACCTGAAATGTGGCTATAACAGCGGGGGAAGTGAAGTTTTAATTTAAGTTAATTTACATTCAAACACCACGTTGGCTCATTGCTACTGCACTACACAGTGCAGCTGTAAGCTCTGGCCTAGTCCAGGGGCAGTGTGGGAGAGCAAGTACCAGAAACGGTCCTTGGGGGTCACACCACCCGTCCCCAGAGAGAAAGAGCAGCCCCTGCTATGAAGGGTCGGGTCTCAGGGTCTCTGGGTCTCAGAGAGGGGGGACGCCGCGGGCCCGACGGATAAGGTTGGCCAGCCTCTTGGCCAAGCCGCCCGTCCTGGGCTCCTCGATGTGGAAGGTCCGGGTGAGGAGATTGTAGAAGGAGCCGTAGCACACGGCCACCACCGTGCACGTGAGGCAGATGACGTTGTAGGGCATGCTGAAGTCCGGCGTGGGCAGGTTCACCAGCAGCGGCTCCGTGTAGAGCCGCATGAAGTAGCTAGAACTGTCGGAGACTGGGAACCTGGGGGTCAGGAGGAGTGGTGAGGCAGGACCCCTGCTCCTCCCTATCGTACCCCGACCCCTCGGGCTGCACTGGCCAATGCTTGGCGGTCGGGATTTTCAAAGTTCTCTTAGCCTCCCAACCTTTCCAACAGAAGACGCCTGAGATGAAGGTCAATGCACAAAGCTGACGGAGAGCTGCCTGTGCTGGGGGAAAGGGCCCTGCCCTCACGTGGCTGCCTCTTCCATAGCCGTCCGCTCTCAGCTAAAGGCCGTCTCCTCAGAGAAGCCTTCCTGGATGCCCACCAGGACACTCCCAGCACCACCTGGGACCTCGCTGCTCTCTAGAGCAGACCCTCCCCCTGGCAGTTCTCAGGGCCCCGAGAAAAGGCGGAGAAATATTCATGGTCATGGTCATGGATGTGTTAGCAGTAGCCGGGCAGGGGCAAGTCTTTTGTTTACTGTTGGGCAGCCAGCGCTCTCTGGAGTTCCTGGCATTCCATAAGTGCTCAACCAAATACTTGTTAAGAGCATCATTGAGTAAATATAGGGTTTACATACTGTTTTTCTCACCTATCTATCCTTCTGGAAGCTTTAGAATCATTTTATAAAGTCCGTATTAACATTACAGACCACGGGACTCTCATTAGGACGGAGTGAAATCTCCACGTTGCTGGGGAAGAGGCAACACTGAGCCCAGCGCCCCCTACAGGAACCGGAGGTCACACTTACAGGCTGCTGAAGAGGGGACTCTCTTCCCAGTCCACGGGTTTGGCTGCCACCATGCTGGGCACAAGGGCACTGAGGACAGACGGGCTGCAGAGAAGCAGGCAGGTGGGTTGGTGGCAGGTAAGGTGGGTCAGGAGGGTGGGGCAGCAACGGGGGGTGGTGGCCCACCTGACGTAGAAGCCGTGGTTGGGGTCCGGGGTGTACTCGGTCCACTTGAGCAGCGCCCGCTCAAACTGGATGGAAACCTTGGTGACCGAGCTGGCCGGCAACTGAATGAGCATCTCCAGGAGGTGGGGCTGCAGCCGGTCCTGGGCAGGCTGGTAGTGGATGTAACCTGGAGACAGGCAAGGCTCAAGCATCACCCATGCCTCCTCCCTGGGGTCAGACTACCTGCACCTCCTCCCCCACCTATAGAGCCTTGAGGCCCGGATCCGGGCTCTGGATCGGAGAAGCCCGGCAGGCTCAGGGGAGGGAGCAGGGTCTCAAAAAAGGAAAAAGATGTTTCCAGGGCAGCCATCCAGGCAAGCAACTGATCAATCTTCACATCACCAAAACTGGGCAGCAGACACCAAGGGCCAGAAGTGATGCAACAAGAAGTTCACAGAACCACCTGGGCATTCTCCTGCCAAAAACAGGGGACCTGCATCTAACCAAGTCCCTAGTACTAACCATCCATACCCAAGAAATACAGGGATGGAGGAACACGTAAACATTGACAGAACAAATCCAGAATGTAGAACATTCTGTACAACAAATGACCCAGCTTGCCCAATAAAACAAAACAAGGAAACCATTACAGATTAAAAGAGACTTAAGTCCTGGCAGAGCAGCTCGGTTGGTCAGAGCCTCATCCCAATATGCCACGCTAAAAAAGTGGAGGGTGGGGAAGAAGGGGATGATAAAAAATGAGAGGAAGCTGGAGACTGCTAAAGCTACTGGCGAGCGCAAGGGAGCTGATTACACTATTCCAGCTGTGTTTGAAGTTTTCCAGAGCAAAAGGTAAAAAAACAAAACAAAACAAAACAAAAAGACGACAAAATACACAGATAGGCTGTTCAAGCAGGTATTTTGAAGGTGGTACAAGGGGTGGTGCCAACAGTAAGTAAAACTATTAAGCACAGGCTTGAAAATATGGGGTTTCAAGACAACGTGAAGCCTGGCCGTCGGTCGGTGTGTGCGGTGATTCTCCCTGAGAAGTCCTTTCTGACGCATCAGTCCCTGCCCACTCCAGAGAATAACAATGATTTAGTGCCATCCTGGCACCTAACAAAAGCAATCAGGAAATATTAACTCCCCTTCAGAAAAATAGTGGAAAATAAAAATAAATTTTAAAAACGACACTTCTTCCCTCCCAAGGAAGCAAAAACCATTATCTCCAGACTTGTAATCTTCTTTATTCCCAATGCTCTGTTGTTCTTGCTAGCCCTTCCACTAGCAGAAAGAGGCAGTGAGCAATCACAAGACAGCCTGAGCCCCAGGAAGGAGAAAGGGAAAAAGGAAACTACTGCCCTCCTCAGGTCAAACTAAGAATCACAGTCTGAGTGTTGATTTTTTTTTTTTTTTTTTCTTTATAAATTACTTCAGACCTGGCATTAGTGAGGCTACCCTTTCCATTTGTCAAACTTATTCCCAACGTTTTCTGCCTGTGTAGTTTTTTCTGGGGTACGGACTTCAGGAATGACCCTGATAAATGAGGGTTTGGGGGACCTGGAGGGAGAGAAAGTGAGGTGGGCAGGGTGGGGAGACTCGGCTCTCACTTGGCTTGTTCTCCTTGCCCTTGGAGGTGATGGTGAGGGTATGCACGTACAGCCGCAGGTACCAGGGCACAATGTCCAGGAGCAGCACGGGGAAGGCCCGGTACGGGTGGGTGTTGTACAGCAGCGTGCTCAGCTCCCCGCTCTGCAGCCCGTAGCCACTCACGTACCGCTGGGCGTGCAGGAAGGGCACTGGCGGGGCCTCTGCGTAGACCAAAGTCAGCAGTTAATAGTGCCTATAGGACAGGGTCACTCCCACTGCACTCCCCAGGTCACCCTCAGGGTCTCAAAGCCAGGAGGACTTGGTGAAGAGCTTTGCTATCAGTACAGGGAAGCCTGTGTTCTGGAATCATCCCCATCTTCCCCAGCCCATAGCAATATAAAATCACTATTATTTCCTAAATACTCGTATGTGCTGAGCGCTGTGCCCCTGCCAACCATACCAGGTGTTCTCATGGTATTCTGCACGTTTCCTGGATAACAATGAACACAGCTGCAATTGTTTGATGTCTACCTCAAGTAGCAGACATTGTTTCTCAGATGCAGATACTCTCTTCTGTCTTCAAAAAATGTTTGTTGATTAAATGCATGCATGAACAAACTCCATATTTTACATTACATATCTCATTTAGTCTGCGAGGTGTTTCTGTTCCCATTTTCCAGAGGAGGCAGGAAGGTTAGGAACCTGCCCAAAGCCAAAGAGTTTTGAAGACATGTATGCAGAACCAGATGCTGACTCTAGAGATCTGAGTCTAACCACTAGGCTGTTCTCTCATGATGATGAGCTGACATCTCAGTGTGTGAGGCCCACCCTCACCCACCATTCTCTGGGGGTCTCCTCCACTTGAGCTGGAGGTTGAGGTTGCGGGAGCTGTTGATCACAGACGTGTCAAACAAGTCGTAGACAGCATAGGTCCTCTGGGTGCCTAGAATGACATCCTGATATGTGCTGAGGGGAGGCGGGTTCATCTCCAGAGTTTCATTGTCCTGGGGACACAGGGCAGGGCTGAGAAGTGAGTGGAGGGGCAGACTGGCGGTGGGGGTGGAGCATTGGGGATGGCTAGAGACCTTGGTACCTGGCTGTAGCTGGTGATGTCCACGTACACTCGGCTCTCTGAAGCCAGGGGGCAGGGCTCTGTGAGAGTTCGGGAGAACATCCGGAAGAGGGACCAGTCTGGGGAGAAGAGAGCAGGGTTGAGCAGAGGCTGGGACTAGGACTGATGTGCACAGATAGGGTGCGGCTGGCAATGGGTGAGCAGAGATAAGTTGCCATGGTAGCTTACCTTTCTTCCCCTGCCCCGTGACGAAGGCATCAAACACAACGGAAAGAGTTTGCCTCAGCTCCCAGGAGATGCTGGTACAACGAGCATTCTACCCAAGGGCCAGACAGCAGCAATGAGGACATATCACTCCAACCCCAGAGCCTCAGGGACTCCTACCCGGACGTGGTCCCTTGTCTACAATGTATCTTCCTACCCATTGATTTGCTACCACTCACTCTGAGCACTTGACCCTGTGCCATACCCTGTGCCAGCAGCTTTATGCATCAGCTGAAACTACCGCCAACAACCGTAGGAAGTACTACTCCATTACTCTCACTTGACAGATGGGGAAACCAGGCTCAGGGAAACAAAATGACTCACTCAAGGTCATGCCAGCCGGTGAGCGGCGGAGCTGGCAGGTACACTGCGCAGCTATTCTGAACCACTAAGCTCCGTGACAAAGATTTCTTGAATGCTTGCCAGGCAACCACTTGGTTTCCTTGGTGCATGGCCAATGCCCCCAGAAGTCATCACTGTAGCTGCTATTTACTACTGGCTCGGCCTGGGCTATGTGCTTTGCCTGCACTTTCTCTAAGAGTCTCTGGATGGCACCCACCCCCATTCGCCATGACTTACTCTGCAAATCGGGCGGATGTGCACTGCCTGGGAGTGGTAGCTAGTGTGGAACAAGCGCTCAGCCTTCAGCAGCATAGAAAGGCCTGCCTGGAGGAGGCGGGAAGAGGAAAAGTCAGTGCGCTGGGCACCTGGGCGTGAGGCAGAGGCTATCTGCAAACACACCTGGCTGTCGGCAGAAAGGGATTTGCTAACTCCATCCACTCTCTGGGGCTCCCGCCGCGTTCAGACCACTCTGGCCTCACCTTGGAACTACAGGGCAAGAGCTTCTTCCAGGGGGTGAGGTTCTCGGTGCAGACAACCTCCCGCGGCAGCACGGCGTAGCGGAGGAAATAGTGATCCGTGTCTGAGGAAGACAGGGCTGTCTGGGGTGGGCCTTGAGCCCCCACTCCTCAGGACCCACTCTCCTGCTCCCCATACACCTCTCTGGCGCCACCACCCTCCTCCCCGGCAGAAGGCAATGCACAGACAGCACAGTCTTGGGAAGCCTTCTGGGGCCTGCACACCCAGGGGATTTATGATCTGGTCCCATTGAGGAAAGAGGAAGCAAAGGTTTGGGCAAGAGGTAACAGGGAGAAGGAAATGGCCACAGGGTTTCTCACCATTGGCCAGCCCCAGGGGTTTGAAGGAGGCAGTGGGGGTGACCGTGTTGGTGGAGTCGATGAAGTTGAGAGAGGCGCAGAAGATCCCTGAGAGGACGTTACTGAGCTCCTTCCAGGATGTATCCACACTGGATGGAGACACAAACCCCCCACTGTCCCAGAGCTGCTCCCATCCCAAAGCCTGCCCCAAAGCCTGCGCTGGCTGCTACACCATTAGACCGGCTAGTTGACGCAGCTGGAACAGCATCACTGCACCTGCTCAGCCCCTTCCCCCTTGCTCCCTGCAGCCACTTAGCTCTCTGCTCAGGTGATTCCTCTTCCTGCCCGGGAACGCCCCACCCACTCCTCTCTGTCCACTTTCAAGGAGGCTCCCTCAACCACAGCCTCCACCTGTGCTGCTGTGGTTCTGACCATCTGAGCCTCTCCCTAAGCTCTCCTGGGAAACGGCTAAGTGGTGACAGCATCTTGTCCTCAGCATCATTTCTCCTCAACCAGGATGTAAGCAACTGAGGACAGGGAGCAAGTCAGATGTGTTTCACCACCATGTGAAGTGCCCCACATCTCCCAGGCTGACAGCACTCACTGATCCATACTTCTCTGTGACCCTGGGCAGGAAGGTCATAGAGTCTGGATTCTACGTTCAGGGTGGGAAGTCTTACATTCATAAAGATTCACGGAACAAGAGAAAACAACTAATCTGGGTTCTAAAAAAAAAAACACAGCAAGTCAAATCAGGTGTTTTTCTTATAGAGAAATACCAAAAACAGATCTGTTCTCTATATTAATCATAGAAAGCATAAAACTAGAAATCTAAACATCAGCTCCATCTTACAGGCAATTAGGAGCCGAGGGAAGACAGTGACGGCAGAGCAGGTGGGGAAAGACAGGGGCTAGTGTTCAGGGAGAAGCCACTGGCCAGTTGTGGGGGCACTGCTTGCTCCTCATCTGATAGCACCTTAGTGCTGTCCTGGGATTTTCTGATAATCCTCGGTTCAAGGCTTTTCAATTGCTCCAAGCTTCAAGCCTCATATAAAGATTGCACACTGAAAGCCTGAAAGCTCTACCCAAACCAAAACCGTGTTTCATTTGGGGTGCACAACACTGACCCACATGTCTTACATTTTTAATACCTTACTGTATTTCAATTTGCCAATTTTCACAATAAAACCTAGATTTCATGTATCTCTTTTTAAAAAGAGAGAGTATCTTACAACAGTGGGCCTCTATTCCCAAACCAATAACCCAGAGGAGATGAGTGGTAGCCATCTTCTCAAGCTCTGTAGCCTGCTAGTCCCCACCACTCCCTATTTTCGCCCTGAAATTTATTTTATCAAACTTGTGCTATTGATTTTTCCTAGTGGAATTAAGAGGAAACTGTGGTACAATAGCAATACGTAGCCCCTTCCCCTCCCAAACAAAAGCAGTTCCTTTAATATGGAGATCTGGCATCTTGTAAGCCAATTCTAGCCCAAGAGTATTTTGTTTGGCCTTACATCCAAGTAAGCTTCCATTATTTGTTATCTGCCTCTGCAAAGATACTTGTTACCTCCTCTGCAAGTAGGTAGGGGAAAGAAGTATATTCAGCAAAATAAAGCATGCCACTCAGTGGTAACATGATTTCTTACTTCCAGGGCAGTTTTATCCCCATGGAACTGCTGTCCCTAATGGCAGTGGCAAAAAGACAACCCTTTTCCCTGCCACAGTCCCTCCGCGGCCTGCAACAGGCCTCAAGGTGCGCACTCACTCAGTGACGGTGTCTTGGAACCAGACCCAGAGCTCTGCACCTGATGGGGCCTGCAGGAAGGGTGGCCCCCAGTACCGAGTCCTCCAGAAGCCCTGAGTGAGGGACAGGTGCAGCTCCCGGAGAGAATACTTGGAGATCAACTGTCCCAGGGCTTTAGGGAAGAGCCTATAATGAGAAACTAGAGAAGGGGGACCAGATGAGAGGTGATCCTGGAGGAAGAGTTTCCAGCCACCCCAAAGAAGCAGTACACCCAAGCAAGGCTCCGGGATCTGAATTCCAGACCAGATTGCTACCAGCGATGTGATCTTAAGCAAGTGCCTTTACCTCTCCACACCTCTCATCTCTTCCTAGGAATCTTTCCCAGAACATAGCACCCAGTATAAATGGTAACCAGCAACAACCTCATCAGTGTTGTCGACAGAGGGCTCAAACTAAAGTTCAGAGCGGCAGCTTGGAGCTGCGGGGCGAGCACTGGGCTAGGAGTCGCGGCCCCTCCCCGGACCTGAGTGTCATCAGCGGTACAATGGGATTCTTCAATCACGATCCCATCCTTCTCCCACGGGCCCACTCTGTCCGCCTCCTCGCCCACGGACCAGAACCCCACCCGCGACTCGGCCCCTCCCGCGAGGCATGCCCCCACCCGCTCCCGGCAGGTGTCACGGTTCTCTTTCTCCGCCAGCGTTCCTCCTCTCACCTTCCTCGCGCTGCAGCTCCGAATCCCAGCGCGTGCGGAACTGGAACGTGGCGGCCACGTCTCCGGAAGGCAGCGGGGTGATGACGAGCTCCTCCCGCAGGCTGTCGCGTGGGGGCTCGGCATGGCCCCAGCCGCCCGGCCCCCGGAGCAGCAGCACCAGCGCGGCGAGCCGCACGGCTGCCGCCATGCCTGCGGCCGCTTCCGCCCTCCAGCAGCGCCCGCCCCCACGGAGGGCCAGTCTCCAATCGGAAGAGCGTATGAGAAGTGACTTCCGGCACCATCCCGGAAACGGGAGTGCGGTTACCGGAGCAACGGACAGGCTAGGCCCTTTTGGGCTGGGTGCTGGGAGGGTGAGGAGGCTGGTGGGGTATGTGGGGTCGCTGGATGCTGGATTGAGGATTCCCCCCCAAGTTTGATGTAGCCCCACCCACGAGAAAGTGCTTAATAATACCGAATGCTTCTGTGGTAGTTGAGAAAACAGACTGAAAAAGATTAATTACTTTTTCGAGGTAACAGAGCTGTGCTCCTGCTTCCCTCAGCTTCTAGTGTCTCCATTTGCTCTGTCCTAAAACTAGCCAGGTTCTCCGGTGGCAGAGCTTTCCGGCAAACCCCCAAATAACTGGCCCTTCTCTTATGAAAAATTTCAAACATACGGCAAAGGTGAAAGAATGAACACCTGTTTTCTCCTCACCTGGATTCCAGCATTAACATTTTACTATACTCGCTTCATTACATATCGCTCTGTAAATTCCTCAGCTCATCGTATGTTTTAATGCATAAATTGCAAGTTGGTCCAATGGTTGTGGGTCATTGTTAAGCTGATGAATGCATAAATTGCAGACATAAGTAACAAATATTTCAGCATTCATATCTTTAACTAGAGTTCAATATTTGTTTACATTTTTCTTTTAGTGCAAAATCTACATACAATGAAATGCAAACGATGAAGGGAAAATTCACTGAGTCCAACAAATACATTCACCTGTGTACCCAAACTCTTAAGATATAGAACATTCCTAAAGCCCGAGAATGTTGGCTAACGGCCCTTGCCGATCATTCCTCCTCCTCCCCAGCTTCGAGACAATCTCTGTTCTGATTTTTCTTCATAGAATAAGTTAATCTGTTGCAGAGTTTCTTATAAATGAAATAATCAAGTAGCCCGTATACTTTTTGTATAACTTCTTTAATGGCAAGAATATTTTTGAGGCCTAGCTGGTTTGCCTCAGTAGTCAGAACATCAGCTTGCGGACTGAAGGTCCTCAGTTCATTTCTGGTCAAAGGCACATGCTCGGGTTTCGGCTCCATCCCCAGTAGCTGTGTGCAGGAGGCAGCTGATCAATGATTCTCTCTGATCATTGATGTCCCTCACTCCTCTCCTTTCCTCTCTGAAATATATACATATATAAAGGGTGCCTTTGAAATCATGTTTTTGTATGTATCAGCAGTTTCTTTTTATTGCTGTATAGTATTGCATTATATTAATATATCATAGTTTATCCATTCTCCTATTGATGGACACCTGAGCTTTTTCAAGTTTTTAATTATTATGAACTAGACCACCATGCAATTTACTTTGTAGACACATTTATCACTCACCTTGGGTAAAATTTTAGTAGTAAAGTGTAGGCTAGATGTATGTTTAATTTTTTTTCTTGTCAGTTTGTTCTTGGGCAACAGACCTATTCAAACTTTGTGCCAAATCCCACAATTATAAACACCAACTCATATTATTTTAGAACTAGAAAAGACATTAAAGATGATCAACACTCAGATTATCCAGCTAAGGAAATTAAGAGTGAGTGAGCACTGGCTGAGTAGCTCGGGTGGTTAGAGTGTTGACTCAATGTGCCAAATTTGGAGTTTGATCTCCTGTTAGGTCACATACAAGAAGCAACCAATGAATGCATAAATAAGTGGATCAACAAAATTGATGTTTCTCTCTCCCTCCCGCCCCCCTTTTGTTTCTCTCAATTAAAGAGAAGGCAGTAAAATGGCATGACCACAGTCAGGATTCCACTGGCTGCTGATCTTGGCAGAGTGAAGTCAGGTCTCCAACTCCTCTCTCTTGCTGTCCCTGCCCTTTATAGAGAATCTCTCCCAAGTGAAAGACTAATGTGCATTCAGCTGAAATGAATCTTGTAGCAAAAATTTCAGAATTCCTTTGCAACCTTTTTATTAAAAAATCAATCAGGATCACTGGGTTTATTTTTCTTCTGCTTGGGGGTGTATCTCCAATAGCACACAGGAGTAAAGCCAACAGGCTCTGACTGCCGTAACCAAGGGAAATGGGAGGATCTGGGAGTCATTTTGTTTTCAATGTTTCCAGGAGGAGCATGGTGGGCGGACATTCTCTGGCCCAGGAAGCTTGGTACCAACTTCCTTTGCTTGTCCTGAGTACCAGAAAAAGCTCGACTGCTTGTTGCACCAAAAGATAAGGTTTTGAATCTGATTCTAAGTCACAAATACTATACGGTGTTTATTGAAAATATGGCAATTTGTACTAGAAAATTGTGGGGAAATATCTTTGCTCTTGTTGGAACTTCAAATATAACAACTAGTATTTTTTTTTAATTTCACAGTTTCTTTTCTTTTTTATTCAATTTATTAGGGTGATGCTGGTTAATAAAATTATACAGGTTTCAGGTGTACAATTCTACAAATCATCTGTACACTGTGTTGTGTGTTCATAATCCAAGTCCTTAATTTTATAAGGAACTGCCAGACCTTTCTCCAAAATATATCATTTTATACTTGTACCAACAATGTATGTTTCTAGTCAACATTTGTTAATTTTTTTTTCTTTTCCATTTTAGCCATGTGGGAATGTGTGTAGTGGTATTTCATTATGGTTTCAATTTGCATTTCCCTGGTACCTAATGATATTGAGCATCTTCTCATGTGTTTATTGGCCATTCATGTATTTCCTTTAGTGACAAGTGTATTAAAATGTTTTTGCACCCTCCCCTCATGTTTACTGGCTCATTTGCCTTTTTATTATGGATTTGTAGAGGTTCCAGTATTCTTGCTTTAGGTTTTCCAGCTGCCCTAGTGGAATACATTCACAAAGAATTTTGCACATGGTCTCTTAGTAAAATTCACCACCATTACTTCAATGAAGTGTCAGGCAGATTTGCCAAGATATACCCCAACCAACCAGAGAGGACAGGTCAAAAAGTGTCATTATCTCATTATGATGTCACTCTGCTCCCATTCAGTATTCCTGTCCCACTAGACATGGACTAGAAGGCCATGAGTTTAGATGTCAGACAAATATGGGTTGAAATCTCCCACCAGCCTTTAGTTCATATGAGCATGAGCAACCTGAGTGTCACTTTCCCTCCTCTATAAAATGGATAAATCTACTTTCAGGGTTGTTGTAAGGATTCAAGGTGTGTACATGTAGGATCTGGAATGTAGTAATTGCTTAATAACATTTACTCAAACAACTCTTTGAGGTAGATGCTATATCTAATATATCCAGTTCAGAAATGAGAAAATTGTTTTAAGGTCACAGTGGGGGATGGAGCCAGAACTAGAAGCTACACTATCAATCTCAAAATTAAAAATTTTAAAAAGTGGCCGAAACCGGTTTGGCTCAGTGGTAGAGCGTCGGTCTGCGGACTGAAAGGTCCCAAGTTCGATTCCGGTCAAGGGCATGTACATTAGTTGCGGACACATCCCCGGTAAGGGGTGTGCAAGAGGCAGCTGATCGATGTTTCTCTCTCATCAATGTTTCTAGCTCTCTATTCCTCTCTGTAAAAAATCAATAAAATAAAAAATTAAAAAATTAAAAAGTGGCTGCCATCACTATGATTATGATTTTGTTTTCTATGCTTTCTTTCCTTTTTTCAAGACCCAGAGAAGTCTTGCCTTCGCCCTCTCTGGTGTGCTCCAGTCCTCTGTGCACTTCTGCTATGGCCCCCATTACATTTCCATTATCCTTGGCCATGTCTGCTCCTGGAAGAACTCTTGGTTGCCTTGGTATTTCTGTTGCCTAAGCCAGGAGGCTAGCTGGTATATAGTAGGTGCTCAGTAATGTTGAACGAACACACAAGACAACATCATAGCACAGTTCCATGTTGCCTCACCCTGCAGTGCTATTCACAGTATCAAGTTCTGTGCCCTCCTGGGGACTGCTACAGTGAGCCTTCCAGGGAATCCTCCCCTACATTGTGGTCTCTCCTCCTCACACAGGACTCTATAGAATGAGTTTGTCCTCTTTCCTCCTTTCCAGCCTATGATTAGTTTTACAGAAGAAGCCACACTGTGGCTGAGAGACTAAAGGCTGGGCTGTTTGCTTCGGAGTTGGCTCCAAATCCTCCTCCCATCTCCAAGGGCACTGTGTGGCCTGAAGCCAGCTGGAGATGCTGGCTCAGAAGGCCAGCCAAGCCCCTGCGGTTTGGCAGAAGAGGTCATTGTCCAATCAGGAAGTGGTCCTGAGGTCTCAGCTGACCCTAGACTTTTTCAGGCAGGGCTGAGATTCACAACAGCTGAATGAAGACTCCCCGTCGGTTCACAAACAAGTCTACCTCTCCAGAGGGCTGAATACAGACCCCTCTTCCCAGGCAGACTCCCTGTTCAAGCCCCACAGATCCTTGCATCACAGGCCTGGGTACTAAGAGGTTTGTTGACATACAGCAACCAAGCTAGTCTATCTCCTCATCACTCACCTTGGAGGGGAGTTCAGTGATCCCAGGAGCTAAGAACCCCTGCATAGCAGAGCTGCAGAGCTTATGGGCTGCAGCCCAGGAGAATGAGCAGCCAGTCAGACAGGAGGTTGAGCCTTGCTGCCCCAAAGGAAGAGAGAAGGCACAAGAGGACAGACAGAGACCATGTGTACAGCATAGTTATAAGCAACCAAAGAGAACTGCACAATTTAACATGATATTGGGCCCTTACCCAACTTACTGGATGATCTCAATTTGGATACAGAGGCTATTAGACAAAAGAAACACAAAACTCCCACAAGTTTCTCCCTAGCACTAGGAAAAGACAAGAACTGTCGCTTACAAGGGTCTTCTGCAGGGGTGAAAGCAGGATGGAACTATGGGAAGACTGAAGCCCTGTCACTCAGCCTCGGTGACACAAAGAGCTTTGGGATTTAGGCTAAAGGTCACTGTTCCATGGCTAGTGTTTGATGTCTGAAGAAAGGGTGGCATGATTTACTTTTTCTAAAGTGAGAAAAGATTTCATGTCCCTTAAGGCTGGATCCTATAACCCCTTCTTTCAATGCCACATTCTCTCTGGGCAAGATTGTTGGCACCCATGGGTTCACGTATCACCTATGCATTGGTAACTCCTGTATTTATCTTCCCAGCCCAATGCTCTCATCCAAACCCTACACTCATGGGTCCAACTCTCTACATGGCCCCTTTGATGTCTCAAAAGTACTTCAAACTCATCATGTCTAAAACCAAATTATCTTCTTCCCCCACCTGGTTCTTTTCTAAACTCGTCATCTGGGTGAAGCACCCTGTTGTACAATGGTGGCACCCAGGGCCCCTTCCTCTCTCTCACCCACCTATCAAATCTTCTGGAATTTGCCTCTTAAATCTCTCTTCATTCCTTCTGCTTTTCTACCCCCACCACCCTCACGCTAGTCCATTACCTCATCTATTTGGCTATAATCATCTTCTAGTTTCCAGACACCCACTTTGGTCCTCTCCAATCAGTACTCGGGAAGGAGCCCCTCTAGCCATTCTGCCCCTAGTTTACTCCTCAGATCTCAGCTCAAATGCCACTTCCTCAAGGGAAACACCTAGTGGCCTCTCCGAATAGGCTATTAACTCCTATCTAGCACCAGAGTTGCAATTTTATATTTGGGCTCCTTGAAACTTTAACCTCTGTAACAGCCGGACTGTGTCTTTTTGCCACTACACTCCTAAGGCCATGCTCAATGTCTTGCACATGTTCCACACTGGCATCTAATATTACTGAATAAGTGTCATTTGTTTATACCGATAAGCTTATCATCACCACAGTCTTCTGGGCAAGTTACATCATGGATGGATTATTGTGTTGTTTTATGTCTCTCTTGATCCTGTTCTCTCCAATATATTTTCTACACTGCAGCTAGAATTATCCTTTTAACAAATTTTACCACTTGTAACATTTCACTACTCCCAATAGAGTTCAAATTCATTAACGTGGCCTCTAACATGTAAACTGCTAGTTACCTATCCCTGTCCTCTTGTTCCTTAGTAATACTATAACCCTGGTTTTACCAAGATAGCAGTGTGCCCTACTAATGAACTATCCCAGCGTTCCCAGTAGCCAACGAGCTTCTGAGAGGTTTGAGAAGTAGAAAAGCAATCAGATGCATTGGTAATTTAGTGACTTGAAAGGTAATTTTCCTCCCAATGGTCAGAACTTCCTTCCTTCTAGATAGTGCCATGTTCCTATGACTATAAAATGTCCATACATAAAGCATTTCTCATGTTAGCAAGTGCTGGCCAATGAGATGAAAGTGAATAAAACTTCCAAAAATGCTTCTTGACGTGGGACTAGACTCCTGGGTGTGCTTTGCCCCTCTCCAATTTCTTCTCTTGCTTTCCGCCAGTTTCAAGGATATGATGGTGGGGCTTCAACAGTCATCTTACACATGAAATACCAATGAGAATTTGAGCCACATGCCTGGGATGGCTGAGCGAAAGAGCCAAACAGGTCCCTGGTGCCCACTAAGGAGCGGCCAGATAGCCCTGTAGTTTGGACTTAAAATGAGGACATAAATCTGTACTTTAAGCTACCGATACTTTCCTAGCAGTCAAATTGAAACTGGGTACAGGCTTCTAAGCATTTTATGACTTGATCATTGCCATCTTACCTCTCCCTTCACCACCTCCTCAAGTTCAAGAGTTCAGCCAAGCTGAATTTTTTCAGTTCCTCGCAGCTATTTCCCTCCATTTAAAGTCTTCCCAAGCTGCTCTTTCTGCCTGGAATACAGCCCCCAACTATCTAACTCCTACTCACCCTTTGGATAGCGGCTTCAAAATCAGCTCTTCAACAGCCATACAAGCCCGGTTAAGATGCCTGTTTTCTGATACCTGAGTACTTCCTTGTCATGCTATTTATTGCACTTTGAACTCTGGTATTTACTTTATCTCCTCCTCAAGAATCAGGAACCCCCACGGAGGCAGGGATACTGCCTGTCTGTCCTATTCAAACCTGTATTCCAAATGCCCAGCACAGGTGTGCAATAAATATTTCTAGAATAAATGAAACAAATGAGTGAGAGGGGTATGGTGTTTGTTACAGAGCTAAACAAATAAAGTGGGTCTGACATCTTTGCAATGTGAAAAATGAAGGAATGGTTGGTATATTATCATCTGTTTATTATTTATACCATGCCCTATTCCAAAAAAAGGACAGAAGGAAGCAGGATGGCTGGGGTACCACCTCACTTGAGTGCTAAAGAGTTCATGTCCATTTGGAGACACTGGTGCAGGAGACTCTGTTAGAAGACTGCCAGGCAGTTGGGGGAGGAGTGCTAAGGAAAGCAATGGCATCTTGTCCTACCTCATCTCCATCTCGTTGCTTGCAAGCTCTATCTCAGGAGTAAGCCAAGCACTAGTGGGAACGTTGCAGCAGGAAAAGGTTAGCAGTAGAACAACAGAGAGTTAACTCCAAGGAGAGACACCACCCCACCTCTTTCCTCCCTCTGGTGCCTACCACAAGCAGAGTCTGTCTTCCCAAAGAGCCCTGGCTGGGCCCAGGGTCTCAGGTGGAGAACAGCCAGCTCAGTCAGTCCATAGGTCGGGCCCCACTGCTAGCTGGAGGCTCCAGGCTCTGCCCCTCCCTCATCCCCATCCTCTGCATCAGACTGTGCCAAGGGTGTGTCTGCTCCGCCCACACTGGGATTTGGGCTGTGCAGGTTGGTGGAGGAGTCGGAAGAGGAGGAGGAAGTGCGGGATGTGGTTCTGTCTGGCGTGTGCATCGGCAGGCGCAGCTCCTCCGGATGGTTGTCCGCCCCTGCACAGAGACAAGAGCTGGTCAGGACCACAAACAGGGCTTTGAGGACTCCAGGGATGGCCTGGTCAGAGAGACTGAAGCCGGGACAGGGACTTGTCCAAAGCCACTTAGTCAGTCCAGTGAAGAGCCAGGTCTCCTGACTCCCACCCCTTCCACTTCTGGGATCACACCTGGGCTCTAGAGTCAAGTCAATCAATTTAGGATTTCAAGTTCTACCTATATCACTTATTTGCTTAGTTAGTGGCTTTGGGAAAGTCATTTTTCCTCTCAAAGACTCTGCTCCTTCTCTGAAAAAAAAAAAGGGGGGGGGATTCCTCCATTCCAGTGGAGTTTTAAGTATGAAATATAATAATGCTTATAAAATGTCTGGCACACAGTAATAGGCTAGCAATTAATAAGTTAAGTAAATGGGCTTTGGAGTCAGAAAGCCATGGTCTGGACCCAGCTTTTCTTCTTTCTGACTGTGTGACAACTTCTCTGAGTCTAATATCCTTCTTTATAAAATGGAGATAATACTACCTTCTCTAATAAGACATTTGTAAGGATTGAGATAATGTATGTGAAGCATTTTAACACAGTATTAGAAACTTAATAAAGTGCTCAATAAATACCATATTATTAGGATGACCTAACACTGTTTAAGTTCTCTAAAAAAATCCATTTTTACATAATTTTAATTATATTAATTTTTCAAATATGAAATTAACAAGGCTACGTAGGGGTTGGCATTACTAGAGTTTTGGATTGGGGATCTGCAACACAGCTGCCCTTCCGGTCAACTTTCCTAAAATCAGAACAGACAGCTGTTTCACTGGTGGAAACGCCCCTTCCAGCCCCTTCAGGCATACTTCCCCAGTCCTATCCCCACACTTCAGAGCCCCAACATCCGGCTCCGGCTAACTGGTGCCCACGTCTCAGCACAGTAGCATACCCGATGTCTGGGGGGTTGATGGAGGATCTTCACAAGGCAAGAACACGTCTGCTCCGTCCTGGTCCCCAAGGTCAATGAGTTCCACTTGCTCCAGTGTGTCCACATTCACTTCCATGGAGGAAATGCTACCGATGGGGGCTGCAGATCGAGAAGGGGACAAGTCAGGAGGACCCAGGCTGGAGCCAAGAGGATGGCCAGAGATGTGTCAGGTCCAGAGACAGAAGTTCAGAGGAACAAGAAAATAAGAGGGGAGGGGCCCCCAGGATTCTGGATCTATAAGACTTGCTCCCTATTCCAGTCCTTTTCCCCAGGACTTACGTCTCTGTGCCTCGAGATGTAGGTGGGACAGAGGGAAGACAAACTCTGTCTCTGGCTGTAAAATGTCCTCAAAGAATTTCTGCCGCTCCCGCAAACGGAGCTGCTGGCGCTCCAGAGATGTCCGAGGGTTTGGGTCCATGTCAGCTCCTGGAGGCAGAAGACAGAGCTATGAAATCGAGTGATAATGCAGTGGGGGCTTGAGCTTAGGGAGTCCCACTGCAGCCAGCATCCCAACAGAGGGACCTCTGGTTTCAGCCCAGCACCGCTGGATATGGCTTCCTCCTTCCCTTTCCCTAAAGCAGAGTCCATTACCACAAACTTCCAGCCTCATACAAAGGCGGGGCTGACCTAGCTCCACAAAGGGGATGCCAGTCCCAGGCACAGCCAGAGAGGCTCCTCTGTGTTCAGGGGATGGACGGAGGCCAATGGCCAAGTCTCAGAGCCATGCCATCCCCAAATGGGGAGGGGGGGCATTTTATCCACTCCTACCTCCACCCGCCTGTCCTCCGAGCCCAGGGAAGGGGATAGGACAGAGTGGAAGGTCCTCAGGGTGGAAGGTCCTCTTCCTCCAGTGGTGTGGTTCCTGCCCATTCTTCAAACCCAGACAAAAGTTAAAGTGCCCCCTCCCCTCCTCTCTCTCGCTCTACACTCACATACCTCTTCACTTGCACCTCCATTCGCTCCCTACCCTGCTCTGAAGTCAAAGGCCTGACTTCCAGACTTGGCTCTTTGCCTAAGGACATCATCTTTCCAGCCCCAGCCCCCGCTTGGAAAATGGTACAATCATCCTACCAGCCTCAAACACAAGACACTGCCTGTGAGTGCTCTGTGACATGCAAAGCTGGCTCTGCACCCCCACAGCTCTTTTTTGCACTGATGTCTCCACCGACACATCTCACTGTTGTCTTCCCACTAGTCAGTGAGCAGCAATGGGAAGGGCAGGTCCTGGGTCCAATTCAGACCAAGCCCCCAGTGCGGAGAGCTTTCTGGAACACCAGAGCTCTGGGCCAGCCCAGGCCCTATACATGCACTCGCATTCGCTCAATCTCCTTCCAGGCCTTCGGCTCATAGCCTGTCGCCAGAGGCAAGGGAGTAGTGTCTAACCTGAGGACCAGATCACCCGCCTCCGCAGACAACCTCCCGCCTCATCTGTATTCAAGCAAATCCAAGACCCCAGTCAGCTCAACAAGCGCTGGGCTGGCCGAGAGGGTCTCAAACCCAGAGGACCAGGCAGGGCCCAGGAAGTGTGCGGAGACCTTGTGGCCGCTGGCTGGGCTGGCCCTGGAGGAGGAAGGCGCTGACGCTGATTCCTGGGAAAGGCTCAGATCTGCGGCCCAGGTCACAACGCTAAAAATACCCGGGCCCCTGAGGCTGACAGCTTTCGCAGCGGTTGGGGGAGGGCAAGGAAGAGGGTAGGAAGTGACAGGGACCGGGGGCTCCGAGCGCCCCCTCTTTTCTCCCTCCCCCAGCCCCATCGATCTCAGGAGACGCGCCCGCAGAGCCCAGTGCCGGAGAGAAGGGAGGTGTTTATCCCATAAAGCTGCTGGGAGAGGGGTGAAGAGATTTGGGGGCAGGAGGCTGCCAGGGGCCCGGCTGGAGACCGGCGGAAAGGAGCGCGCCCCGCCGGCCCCACCCGCACTGTGGTCAGAGAGCAGAAGAATTCCCTAAAAAGGGACGAGCCCGGTCCGCGAGGAAGGGAGGGGGGAGACGGAGGCCCCCTCCCGGGGCCGGGCCGCCCGGGCTCGCGTCCTCCCGCCACACACGCCGGCCCCGCAGCACCTGCGCCGCCGCCGCGCACCCCTACCTGCCGCCGGCGCCCGCTGACTCAGTCCGTCCGCCCCGGCGGGCGGGCGGCGGGGGCGTGGGAGCGGGAGCGCCGGCCGGGGTGGGGCCGCGCCGCCCGGCTCCCCCGGGACGCCCGGGCCCCGGGCGCCGGGAACGAGGAAGCGGCGGGCGGCGGAAGTGGGGGAGGGGCGGCGGGCACCCGCGCTCGCCTCCCGCCTGGCGGTCGCGGGGAGCCCCTTCGGGCGCGAAGGCTCGGACTCCCAGGCCGGGCGGAAAGTTCCCGCCCCGCATCCTCCCTCCCCGCGCCCGGCCCGCCTCCTCCGCGCTCCGTCCGCCGCCGCCGTGCGGGGCTCCGCACGCTCCGCTCCACCAGCCGCGCCCGCCGCCGCGGGAGCACGCACCGGGGCACGCGCGGCTCCGGGACCCCGGCTCACGCACACGTGCTGCTCCCCGACTCCCGAAGCCCCGAGCAACCGGCGCGAACCCGCACCCCGAACCCGCACCCCGAACCCGCACTCCGGCGCCCTCGGCCGAACTCGCACACTGATGCGCGTACATGTATCTAAAGGGGCGCGGGCCGGAGGGGAAGGGCGATGACCCAGTGCACCCATCCCAGGCAGGTGCAGCGGGGCGTAGGACCCCCTGACCCTAGGACTCACCAGGCAGCCCGGTTCCAGGGTCCGGCACTGGGCAGAACCAACGCCCAGCCTTCCAGCGCACTGGGCGGGGTGGGCGCCGGGACGGGGCGGGTCAGGACTAGAGGATGGGCCTCCGCGCCGCACCCCCAGACGCCGGCGGCTAGCCAACGCTTGTGGGTTGCTAAGGGGGGCGCTGCGCGCCGGGGCTGGCGGGGTGGGAGGGAGAGGAGAAAAGCTTGCTCCCACGCAGCGCCTCCGTTTCCAGACCAGTGCCAGTGTCCTTGCAGTAGCCGGGCAGAGAGACTGTGCCCGTTTTCTCCTTCCACCATCCTCTGATGCTCCTTGCTCCAGAAGCCCCCTCCTCCCCGGGGGAGCGGGGCAGGCAGGCATCTGTTGGGGATGCTTCTGAGGCCGAGACACTTGATCATTCCACGAACATCCTTGAGCAAGCCAAGAACTGGGACTCGTCCTAGTCGCCTCTCTGTCCTTCGCTGCCCTCATTAAAATACATGTTCATTTCCTGTCGATTCTCTTTCCCAAATATCTTTCCCACCCACCATTCCTCTCAGTTTCCACCATCATCTCTCCTTTGGCTCCTACACCAGCTTTCTGGCTGGTTTTTCTTTACTTCCTCTGACCCTGTTACACTCCATTCCCACACAGCAGTCAGTCATCATTTCAACAGGTAAGACTGACATGCTACCCTCTGCTTAAGTCCCTCTGTTGTCAGGATAATATCTAGACCTGATATCCGAGCTGAGTTTTGAATAAATTAGTTCAACAAGCAGAGGTGAGGGGGGAAAGAATGGAAGTGAAATTCATGATTCCAAGTCAGAGCACCAACACTCTGTACAAATACCTAAAGCACTGCTTCTTCTATTGTTATTAGAATCTCAAAACAAGTCTGTGAGAGAAATATAGCAAGCAGCTTTCCCACTATTTTGCAAGCAAGGAAACTAGTTTGTGGGAAGAAACAAGTGCAGTGGTTAAGAGCACAGGCATGGTAGTCAGACCCTCTTGGGTTGTAAACCTGGCTCTGTGTCAAGCCAGCTGTGTAAACAGTTAATTCTCTGATCCTGCATTTCCTTGCCTATTAGATAAGAATAACTATTCTCTACCTTATGAGATAATTCATGTAAAATACTTTGTACAGGACTTGGGTACTTTGGAGGTGCTCAATAAATTAGCTATTTTGATTGCAATGGGTCTTAAAAGAGGGAAGAAACTATTTTCTTCCACGAATTTCTGGAATTAAGAGAAGTATGCCTTAACAGTTAATTCTTCTACAGAGCTTGTTACACACCCCTCACTATTATAAGTACTTTGTGTATATTAACTCTTTTAATCCTCTTAACAATCTTTTGAGGTATTATTATTATTATTTCCATTTTACAGACACAGAAATTAGGATGCAGAGAAGTGAAGGGACTTGTCTAAGGCCATACAGCCTGCAAGTGATGGAGCTGGAATTTGAACCCAGGTTGGCTGCCTCCAGAGGTTGTGCTTATAAGCACAGCTTCCAGCCTGTTCCTCTTTAACCCTGTCTCAGTTTTCATCTTCCAGGGTATATTTTGGTCAGTTGATTCTTACTCCTCATTAATGGATGGAGTAGATACTGGGTCCCATTTCCTAGCACAGAGTAATAAGGTCATCAGGAGTACAGTGGATGAAAACTCAGCTCACCAAGTCATCTCCCCCCTTTTCAGGCTCATCCCTAGGAATAGGACTCCATGATTATTTTGAGCTGTCCCCAAGATAGTGGCAGATCAGGAACTTCTGTCCCTTCTTTTTGCCAGGTATTTGCCAGATTAAAGGGTTAAGGGGGGGAAAAAAAAAAAACATCCAAGTTAGAAATAATTCAGGTGGCTATGCTGGAAAAGTGTCAGCCAAGAGAAAGACCCAGGCAGTGGGCCTAGGAGTGGATGGCAAAGGAAGTTGAAAGGAGCAGTGAAAAAGCAGACGGCTTAGATTCCTGGCTTCCATTTAGGATGCAGAAAACTGGGAAGAACATCATTATCACGCTAATAGTTTTTTTTTAATTGTTAGGTAATCTATAAAATTATAACTTTTATTGAAACCATCAGAGAGCTGAGGTTTCAGAGCAACCAATTAACCTGAATTCCAAAGAAGGACAGGAGCCTCCAAGAAGAAATGGGATGCAGGCACTGGCATACTTATGAGGTAGGAGGAAGACAAGTTCTCTACACAAGCAGGTAAGGAGAGTTCAGGTACAGTTTTTATTGAATTACTAAAGGCCCAGTGTGGCTAGGATGAGAGGGGGAGTCCGCAGATGTTAAAAGTAATCATGGAAACAATAAAACCCAAACATAGTTCAATTCTTAACAAAATTTACTCAGTCCTCAACACTAATGGCTTAAAAAGAGATGACAATTTATAGGTATAAACAATTTGTCCTCAGTCTCTACTGTTCTATACATTATGTCCAGAAATCAATAAAAATTACGACACATATACAAAAAGCAATTTTACAAAACAAACAAAAAACAAAAAGCCCTATTGTCAAGAAACAAAGTAATCAACAGAACCAGACTGAAGACCCAGATAACAGAGTTATCTGAAAGAGAATTTAGAACAATTATAACAATATGTGAAAGACTGTTGGAAAATGTGGACAACATGCATAAACAGAAGGGGAACTTTAGCAGAGATGGAGACTATAAATAAAAGAGTCATGTGCCGAAACCATGAACTTGAA